TATGATAGCTAACAACCAAGGAACTGACCTCTACAGTAGAAAAATAATAAAAAAGCATGAATCACAGTTTCTTTTACGCAAATTTACATTCTGAAAGGTAATCACGTATCAACTTACATAACAATGTTATGTATAACAGTCTGAAAAGAATGGTGATTCTTCTTACGTAAATCTTATGAAATCAAGGAGTATTGAAATAAAAATTCATTTTCAGGCATGACTTGGAGTTCATGGCAGTTATTACAGAAGAATACATTTTTAAATAATATAATTTGCTAAAAGCGTTTTCAAGGTACCGATAAGCAACACTCAAAGTATGATTCTGTTTCCTCCTCCCAATATTTAATCCCTCATATAAATATTGGATTCAAACTCACTTTTTGAGGGGCAGTGTCTCCAGTGACCTCACCACAGCGCGGGCCCGCGTCTGGCGTGAACTCACCTCCAGACGAGCAGGGAGCAGCCTAGGCCTCTGAAATCACACAGCTTTCATCTGGCCCCTTTCCTGAGGGGCAGATGTCACGTGAACTTACCACCCTGAGATTCAGAGCCTCTATTGAGCTCACCTCTCTGAGGAGCAGTGTTTTGCCCCGGGGCGGCTTCTCGGGGCAGCTCACCGCCCTGACAGGCCGAGTCTCCCATGAGCACCTGACGGGGGCGGTGTCTCACTTGCAACAATGAAAACTTAGCACGGGCATTGAGTTTAACACTTGTTGGGTAAATAGGTCCTGTGTGTGGGATATCAGTATATGACTTGTTTTGGGAATACACCGTGGTCTTTGTAAGAAGGTAGTTTGTTGAGCTATAATTTATGTGTAATTAGGTACCATTCTACGTGTATAATTTAAAAGAATTTTGTTTTGTTTTAAAGTCAGCTCAATTGATATAACATCAAAATTCACTAATTTTGAGTGTGCGATTTGATGAGTTTTAAAGTGACATTGTTGAGGTGTAATTTTCATTCCATAAAATTCACATCTTGCACATACAGCTTGCTTTCAGTAAATTTTTATAATTGTGCAGACATCATGGAAACCTTTTATTGCACTTCCATCACCTGAAAAATTCCTTTGTGTCCTTTTGTAGCCAGTCTCTACACCCAGCCCCAATTCTAGGAAACCTCTAACATCTCTAATTTTGCTTTTTCTAGAAATTTCATATAAATAAAATCAAACAATATGCAAAAAAGTAAATAAGAATCGGATCCAGTCATGTCCTGGAAAATAAGGTTTATACATAAATATAATTTTCCTTATTAAAATATAAATTAGCACGTTTTCTGGAGCAAAGACTTCAAAATCAAGACACATGTGTTATCACTGCAGTTGAAAGTGTGAAGGAACTTGGATAAGTACAAATTGCCGACTAATTGGATTGCAGAGTATTTTGCTTTCTAGCCTCACAAGTGGTAAGTATGCCCGAGGCTGAATAGAATCCAACAGGGTTAAGATCAATATTGCTAACAAATCAGGTAGAGAATGTGCCGATTTTTGATGGTCTAAATCAAACTTTAAAACATTTCTATTTTATAATGATTATGGAATTTTATATGTTTCAAAAGGGTTGGAAAATACTGAAACCATCCATCGGAAAATAAAGGTATCACCTCTAATTCTCCATAAGGAAAGCATTGCTGCGATTTGCTGTACGTCTCCCAATCATCATGTAAATAGGTCTACATGAAACACATTTTCATCAGACTGTCTTTCAACCCTGGTTTTCATTTAAATGAGTTTGAATTGTTAGAATATTTGTCATGCCAGATGTTTTAAACTTTAAATTTGTATTAGAGGACTTCTGCTTCTGCCCGAATTGAATTACAGGGGCGAAATTTATATTCCTATCTCAAACAATTTTTTTAAATGATAAAATAGATGAAACAATGATTTTCAATTTATTGGGCATCAGGCAACAAAGGATAATGATCTCAGAGATAGAAACAAATGAGATGAGCCGGACAACCGCTGCAGCTTTCTGCCTGGAGAGAGACTGCACGTCAGTGGCCGGAGTGGGGCTGGCCAGTCACCTTAAGTTGATGAGAGGCAGCTGAGTGTCCAGGGAGGCCAGAATTTGTAGGTCAGAATACCAGAGAAGAGATTGCTGCAGAGAGAGAAAACTCCAGAGCTCTCACGGGGCTGGGAGAGTTGCTAGTCCCATCAGAGTAGAAAAACTAATAATTCTTGGAGCATTGATTAGGATACGTAGAGCATGTTTCCTGAGGAAAGAGGCTAAATTAGCCCTAAACTAAATACTGACTGCTCTCATTTTTCCCAACAAAGTTTAAAAATAAGACCTGTGTTTTGGGTTGAATTCTGTCGCCCCAACAGATATGTTCCAACACTAACCCCCAATGCCAGCGAATGTGGTCTCATTTGGAAACAGAGTCTTTGCACATGGAACTAATGAGTCAATACAAGTTTGTGCTGAACGGGGGTGCGCATTAGCCGCTATGACTGGTGTCTTTCTAAGGAGAGGATAAAACACTGTGAAAGACAGGCAAGAAGAGAAAGATGCAGTTATGAGGCAAGAAATGCAAAGGACAACCAGCCATCACCAGAAGCTAGGAGAGAGGCCTGGAGCAGATGTGCGCTCCGAGTCCTCAGAAGGAATCTACCTGGCTGACCCCTTGATGTCAGGCCTCTGGCCTTCAGAACTATAAGACAAGAAGTTGTCTGGTTTTAAGCCACCCAGTTCATGGCACACTGTTACAGGACTCCTGGGAAGTGAATACAACCCGAAGGCACGTGTTATTTCCCAGCAACTTAACTATAATGTCCAAGTAATTTCCAAGAACAAAACTAAAGGAAAATTAGTTCTAGAAATACAAAAATACCCAGCACTCACTAAGGTAAAACTCACACTGTATAGTGCCCAATCAAAATTTCCAGGAGCCTCCTCAGTGGTGCAGCGGGTTGAGCACAGTGCTGTGAAGCTGTCCGCAGCCTCTGCAGCACAGGTTCGATTCCCGGCCAACCAGGGAGCAACCCACATGGCGTGGCAGACCCCTCCTGTCTCGCCTGCTGCTTCCCTCAGCTGTGTCTTCAGTCCGTCTGCCTGTTCTGTTCCCCACTCTCCCTGGTGACCTATACCCCAGTTCTTGTATAAATAAAAATAAATCTTAAAAAAAATTGCCAGGCATGCAAAGAAGCAGGAAAATAAAGACGCAGCTGAAAAAGCAGTTGATCACAACTGTGGTAAAAATGATACAATTGTTGAAATTAGTAGGCAAGGACATGCAAACAGGCAGTATGAATATTCCATATTTTCAAGAAGAAGAAACATAAAACATGGCACAGATATGGAATTTCTGCACCTTGACACCGAAGGAGTTGTTGCTATCAGGGCTCCTGAGTGATGGATGGGACGACCAGGGATTTGGGCAAGACATAGGAATGTTGTAGGTACGAGGGAGAGCACGAGGTTCTGGGCTGTTTCACCAGGAGCAGGGCGCAGTCTGCAGCGGAGGAGACGGTGTAGAGCTGGTCAGCAGTTCAGGTTCAGAGCTGGACAGGAGGGCACAGCAGGGAGCCTCAGGGGAGGGTGCTGTCATTCTCGAAATTGCTACGACTGAACGCAAATGTCAGCACCTGGGCAGAGTCAGCTATTAAGATTTCCAGGGCTTGGAGCAGGAGCATAGAGTTCAGACAAACCCCAGATTATGTTATATTCTCGTTTCCCTTCCTTCTTTAGGCCTTTTCGTACTTTATCATATGGTGCTTTTTTTTTTTTTTTTTTGGTCTCCTGAGACATTACGCAGTACTGAGAGGAGAAACGGAGTCAGACAGAAGACCTGCCCCAGGCGGGGAGGAGCGGGAGCAACCTGGCCCAGATGCATTCGCCAGGGTGCTGAACATCATCTCAGCAGCCCTGACCCTGACTGTGCAATCCTGGGGAATGACCCAGGGCTACGAGCCTCAGATTCATCGGATGTGAGGTGGGCTTGATAAGCCCCATCTCGCAGGACTGCTGGAACGTATGTAAAGTAAGAAAAGTAACCGGCCCAGCGTTAGGCATTTATGGCTCTTTAATGAATGGCAGTTATTTCCAGTATCATTTTGTCCCCAGATGCTACTGCCCTCTCCTGGAATTTTGATTTCATCCAGGACATCTCAGATAATGTTCAGATCTAGAAAAAATAGAGTATCAAACCAGGCAAAAAAAAAATGTAGAAAATGTAGAGTCACAAAGAAAATTCAGTAAACTTTCCTCTTCGAGGATATACTAGTTTGGGTTAGGGTTAGTCTTCTCCAGCTGGTATCACTCAAGAGTGATAGAATTTAAGTGTGAAAACAACTTCCTTCCATCCCAGCTGCTCATCCACCCACAACACTGTTTTCATTCATTTCACTGCCACCAAAGCCTAGACCTTGCTAAAATGGGGGCCACCACGCTCAAGGGGACCTACCTTTAATGGTATTTTAATGGAGTGGGTTCTAGCTCTCACAGGCCAGGGCAGTGGCTGCCAGCCTAGTTGTTTCTGGGTACCACCTCAAGGAACGATCGCCCCATTCTCAGGACACCCTTGCAGAGGTGGACAGAACACCTAGTCCGCGCACCGCGCTCCGCTGTCAGGACGCCCTGCTTCCCCGCCCCGGGTGGGCCTTCTCTCGGGCTTAGCCACCATCCAGAGGGAGCCACTGAGCACTTTTCCGCACCAGGCCTTCTCTGTCCTCCAAAACACACTGACCGAGCGTCAGCCCCGCCCGCTCGCTGTAACCCACTGCCCCAGAAGGAATTGCGGGTCCCCAAAGCCCGAACTGCCGAGACCCGGCTTCTGGAGAGGCCCCTTCCCTGGAGCCCCGCCCGCTGCTGTCTCTTGTTCTTGCCGCCTTCCCAGCAGGCCGGCTGCACACCCCCCCCCCCCCCCCGCCCCGGCCGGCCTTCTTTGGTTTGGGGGTGGGGGGTGTCTCACTTATCCCCATTTCTAACACAGTGCTTTCAAAAATCGAATTTTCCATTTGTGTTTTGCGAAATAAAAATTCAGTGAGGAGGGTCTTTCATTTAACAGCATTTATTCGATTACTCCTACTCTCTTCAATAAGCCAAGCAGATTGGATCTATCTATATCTTTTAATTTTACAGCACAGCAGACAAAAGTGGTTAAGAGATTCTGAAAGTAAATCACTGTTACATTTTCTTCTCTATTTTCAGATTAATTCGTTCACATTCCCAAGGAAATTCCTTTTCCAATGTCATCTTATCTTGTTCCAGTTCACAAAATAGAATGAAAGGTGCCCCAATTTTCCTTGTGAAATATCAAAACTCTTATTCTTAAATTCACAAACAATCCAAACTCTTGCTCTTAAGTTCATGAACAGTTATAAACGTGTGACCAATGTCATTTGTAAACTTAGATTCCAAATGTCATCAACCTTCTATTAAGAAGAAATACCAAGGGCACTTTTGGTCACTGATACAGAAGACGACTGTAGAGCCGTTGGAACACTGTGCTCTCCCTAGCCTGCTCCCCACCCTCTCCACAGCCCTCCTCAAACCCACGGTGAAGATTGGGACTCATTCTTCACCTGGGGCAGGAGAAGCTGCAGACCCTTGCTGCCCAGTGACTGTGCTGGGAGAACTATCCGTGGGCTTAATTCTGGCCCTAGCTCTCTCTTCCTCCTCTCTTAAAGCTTCCTCATACCAGCATGAGAAAGAAATGGGGTCAGTCCCTTTGATCTTAGCCAAAAATTCCAGAATTTTCTTTGTGTTGGTTTCGGCATAAGCCCTTGAGCCCCACAGGAATTCATAACGTGGAGGATCACTGTTGGGCACCTGGCGGTACTCCAGGTAATTCTGCTGCACCCAATCTCTGGTGAGGAGCTTCCTGGGCTCCCCATAGAGGAAGTGCTCCCTGCCAGCATACACCCCCAACACATTCAGGAAATCCCAGATATCTTCCTCAGGGATGCAGTTGCCCGCGATGAAAATCACGCCCAGGATGATAATCAGGAGGCCACTTTTAGGCACACCTTCCTTGTCACCAAGCATCTCATCACAGGGGAGATCCACTGAGCTGAGAAGGACATAGGAGTGGATAGTGGGGTCCACTTCCTTCACATCAATGCCAGCGATCACCTCCAACCACTTAGCAGCTCTCTTGAAGATCACAGGGAATCGTTTCTTATGACTTTTAATGACCGCCTTCAGCATTTCTGCCTTTGTGATGGGCTCCCTGGATTGATACTTGAGGATCAGGAACTGCACCAAATCTGTCACCTTCTCCTCCAGCGGATCTCTGGGCCCAGGGTCAGGGCATGCTGACATCTGCGAGCAGCTTGCATCCGCCTTTTCTTGGCTGCCAGATGGTGGAGAGGGGCCACAACTCTGAGGACTCTGGGGAGGATCCAAGGTCACAACAGCAGGGACCTTCTGCTCTTCCTGCTCCTCCTGCCCCTCCTCCGCCTTCACCCCCTCCTCATTCACCTCCTCCTCCTCCTCCTCCCTGCTGACTGGAGAGGACATGGGGGAGGACGAGGCTGAGGGGTAGGAGAAAGTGAAAGAGCACAGGGAAGTGGGGGAGAGGTCATGCTCCTCCTCCTCCTGCTCTTCCCCCTCCTCCCCTCCTCCCTGCTAACTGGAGAGGACATGGGGGAGGACGAGGCTGAGGGGTAGGAGAAAGTGAAAGAGCACAGGGAAGTGGGGGAGAGGTCATGCTCCTCCTCATCTGTGGGCACCTGCGCCGCCATCAGGTCCTGTGGGTCCTCTGTCTCTGGGACCCCAAAGCCACTATCAAATGTGACACGTGGACGCTTTGCTAAGAAAGACATGATGGCTTCCTGGTGGCAGCAGCTAGTGGGAGACAGGAACCAGCACACCTGGGGGAGAGAGGGAGAGCATTAGCAGCCTCAGCAGAGAAACACAACCTTGGCATTTCTGACAAAAGCCAACTTACAGGTCTCCTGGTTATGGAATAATCTGGAGTCTCACAGAGCTCTTGTCTTCCTGCACACTTTGCCCCCAGGAACCTGTAGGAGGTTGTGAGAAAGAGAGTACAGCTAGCCAGCAAGCCCCAGGCTTCCAGGACTGACGATGGGTGGGAAGGGGCAGGAACTCTGGGGTTCCTTCTGTTCTGGGGTGGGTGGATCCTTGGCAGACACTGAGGATGTATACCCCATCTTGACTGCTAGCCCTGTCAGGGCCTCTGCTGCTCTGCTGACCTTAGGGCAGGTGCCTTACATCAAGGTCCTGACCTCAAGGTTCCTGGAGCCCCTGATAGGAACCTGCCAGGCTGTATAACGTCCCCACTGCTCTGCAGTAGCTGCTCCCCTCTGTGCACACTGCAGTTCTCATCCTTCTCCTAATAAGGTCTGAGCCCCACCACCACCGCAACTCTGCTAGCCTAAGGCTAAATTTTCAGGAAAAAAATGAGGGCACATTCCTGAAAACAATGAGGAGAAAGCAAAGGGGCAACACAGAGCACCATACCTTCCCAGGGCCTCCCAAGGGTGACAAGGGCAAGCCAAAGTCTGTGGAGATCCCTCATTCCTCACTGAGGGCTACCCTCATTCCTCATGCTGATTCTTGACAGGGCCTGGGAATCCTCCCTCTGCTGTCCTGAGTCTGGCCCCCTCAGAACAAGCCATGAGCTCCCTGAGCCCACCAAAAGGAAGTGAGGGTGCACCATATCTGGTCACTATGCCCCAGGCCTCCCAGAGCTGACAGCAGGGGGAAGGGAGGGTTGGCTCTTCCTTCAGTCTAGCGTGGAGCTGTGCCCGCAGTCCTCACGCAGGGTCCTAACCTTAAACCCTAGAACACGCTGGGACTTCTCTATCTACTAACTGTGGCTCCCTCTCAGACAGTCACCACCTGAGAACAAAGCCCTCATCTCCATAATAACCCCTGGACAAAAGTAAGGAAGAACCACATCTTGCCACCTCTGCCAGACCCTTCAGGGACAGGGACCCCACCTGTTCTGTCGTGGGGCTAGCTCAGTCCTCCCTCATGGTATCCATCTTTCATCCTGGCAGGACCTGGGCCACCCCCTTACTGACGGTATCATCCCGTCAGCCCATAACCTTACCCTGTGAGACACCTCCCTCACCCTTGGAGGAAGTGAAAGCATACCATCTTGAGCTACGCCTGCCTCGGTCCGCCCAGGGCTAAGAACAAGAGACACTTGAGCTCTGTGGGGTCTCCTCTTTCTATGGTAGAAAGAAACTGTGGCCTTCTCCATGGGTCCTTACCTTGATTTCTGGTAAAAGGTGCGGATTTTTCCCTTTTCTGACCTTATGTGGCTCCCTCAACGACTTGCCTTCGTGCTCAGACTGAGGCCCTCATGACAAAAGTGAAGAGACAGTACATCCAGCTACCCCTGTCTATTCTCCCAAGACTGACAACAGGGACTGGACCCATCTGTTCTGGGAAGGGGTGGTTTCCTCTGCCCTCCCTTGAGGTAGTCTTTACTCCAGGTATGGCTTAGGTCTATCTCCTCTGGTGACCTGAAATCACCCTTCTAGACCAAGCCTCACCTCCCAGAGATACCTCCACCCACTCCATGCAGGAAATAAGGGAACACCATATTTGGACCTTCCTACCGAGTTCATCCCCAGGGTAGACACCCTCAGATTCCAATGTGAAAGTTACAAAATACTAATTACAATAGCTCTGGTGGAGGCACAGACTGAGGTCATACACAGGGCAGGGCGTGACTCCCAACCTCTAAAGTGGGTTTTCTCGCTTTTACCTCAGGGTCCTCACCTTGAAGCCTGGCAGAGCCAGGATTTCAGTTTCTTCTGACATAAGTCCATATCCCTCAGAGAAAGACTCAAGCCCTCAGATTCTCCAGAGGAAAGTCAGACACATACATGCAGAAACCCTGCATGGGGCCTTCTAGTTGGACCAGGACAGGAATTCTGTGGCGGGAGCTCCCTCAGGTCTCCTCAGAGTCCTCACCGACGCTGGCAAACCTCCCTCTGCTGACCAAAATCTAACCCAACCGGTGCCGCCTCACTATCTCAGCCTCCCAAACAGAAGTCATGATACCACACATTCTGAGCCGAAATTGGGGTTTTCCTAGGCTGACATAAGGGGCAGGGCAGGAGGTGGGAGGCAGGGTTTGTACCTCTATTAACTAAGTCAATTCTCAATGAATAAGCTTCAGCTCCTTGATCTCAGAAATGCAAAATCAGCATTTTCTGGAACCATGCATGGGGCTTCTCAAAGCGGGGAGTAAACACAAGGCTTGGAAGCACCCACTTCCTGCAGTGGTAGAAGGTCTCCATCCTCTGGGTCCTCATCTTATGCCTAGCAATGTCTAGAACGCCTCTCTCTGCTGACCTGAGTCCAGCTGCTCAGAATCCCAAGTTCTAAGTCACTAAAACACATATCCAACCACATTTCTTGGAACAAGAGACACAGGCAGGGCTTGGGCACCACCCTCCATGCAAGGAGGTCTCCCATTTCTACCTCAGCATGCTCACCTTAAAGCTCAGCAAGCTTTGGTCTCTTCTCTCTTCTGACCTATGTGCACCCCTCAGAGAAATCCTCAGGTCCCTCAGACTTTCAAGATAAAAGGCACACAAACTTTATATGGGGAACGCTGACTGGGGTCTCCCTAGGAAGGCAGCAGGGGCAGGGCATGGCAGGAATCCAAGTGTAACAGGCTGGTCCCCAGGAAAGGGGGAGGGTCCAGGTTCCCTGCCCCACCCAAGGGAGGGTGGAGCTGAGCAGGGAGAGAAGAAGCTGCCGAGGAGACTGAGGAAGGAAGAAAGCAGGATGGAGCCAGAAGGAGACCTGGAGGAGGCGCATGGAGCCAAGAGACACGTGAAGAAACTGCGCTTGCCTCTTGGTCGTGGACTGGGTGACACAGATGCGGGTGAGAGACCCGAGGGGAGGTGACAATGGCAGCTTTTATCTTGATTTTGATTTTGCTCTTTTCCCTCCAGACTTGTCTGGTTGTTCTGATGCTTTTCTGTGGGTCCCCACTGGAAGGTGCTTTAGACTGTGGCAGGCTTTGGGGCCTTGCTCTGGGCCAATCCTGCTTGGGTGGACTTTTACCCACGAGGGGACGGGTCACTTTGGGTGCTTGATTTAGAAACTCTATTCTTTGCCTTTTCTGTATTGTTTCCTAATTGTATTAAAGTTCCTTCCCATTAAAGTCTCACATGTTTTGTGTTGATGCGGCGGGTGGCAGAATCTATTTAGAGCAGGCAGGTGTGCTCCTCTCCCTGCCCTGTAACACACGTAGCTGCACTAGGAGGTGCTGCTACGCCTCCTTCAGGGTCCTGACCTTGAGGACTGGCCTCTTCCCATGCTGCCATTAAGCCCCAGCCTCAGACTCAGGAGATGAAGTTAAAAAACAGAATCATACCAGAACCCTACCTGATTTCATAGGGCTGACATGAAGGGCAAAGGGACTTTGGGGGCACCCTTTATGTGTTGTAGGAGACCCCCACACACACACTCTCCCTTAAGAGTCTGCACATGTGGGGGCCTCCCTGGTGGCGTGAGGGGTTAAGACACAGCAATATGAAGCTATCTGCAGCCCCTGCAGCACCAGTTTGATTCCCAGCCAGGGAGGTGACCCACATGGTGCAGTAGACCTCTCCCGTCTCACCCACTGCACCCCTCAGCAGTGTATTTCAGTAGATCTGCCTGTTCCGTTCCCCACTCTGTCTTTGGTGAATCCTCTCACCTCCCGCATCTCTGGCCTGCACCCCAGCTCTTGTATGCATAAAGAAACAAATCTTTTTTTAAAAAAAAAGTCTGCACATGTGGGGATATGCCTGAGATTGATGATATAAGTTTGTCTCCCTCAGAAAAAGCCTCATCTCTCTCAGACTCCCACAATGTAAGTCAGGAAACACTCAGTCTAGTCACCTCTACTTGGGGCTCCTACTGTTAATGGCCAGGTAGGGCTTGATTCCCTCTCTGTCATGGGCCAAAATTTCTCTCACTTCTACCTCAGGAGTCTCATCTTGAAGGTCACAATACCTCTCTTTTCACAACTATGTCGCCAGCCCTCAAAGAAAGCCCCAGGTCCCTCAGACTCTTACAATGAATTCTGGTCACTACGCATCCAGGAACGCTGACCGGGGCCTTCTAGAGAAGAAAGAAAAAGGAACTGGAGCTCCATCACTCCTCATGAAGGTCCTCACCTTTTCCAGGGCAATGTTCACCTCTTCATACTCTTCTGAGTTAAGTCAGGATAGACAAATCTAAGGCCCAGTCTCTCATTTCCCAGGGCGAACAACAGGGACAGGCAAGAGCTGGGGCACCCTCTCTGTGGTGAGAATTCAAATCAAACCTTTGCCAGGACCTGGGACATTTCTTCCACTGACCCAAGTCCAGCCCCACGTAACAAGCCTAAGCGCCCTCAATTACCCATGACACATTTAGGACATACCATTTTCCAAAACCCTGCCTGCGTTTTCTCAAAGGCAACAGCAAGTAAATTGAAGAGCTGCACTCCTGCAATGGAATACCCGCAACTCCTGCAATGGAAGAACCCTCCCTCACATTTCTCCAGGCAATATCTTGGACACCTACTGCTGACCTATCTGTGACCCCTTCAGATGAAGCCTCATCTCCCTCAGATTCCAATGTGAAACTTACAAAATACTAGTTACAATCTCTCTGGTGGAGGCACAGACTGAGGTCATACACAGGGCAGGGCTTGACTCCCAACCTCTGAAGTGAGTTTTCTCCCCCTTCTGCCTCAGGGTCCTCACCTTGTAGCCTGGCAGAGCCCAGGATTTCACTCTCTTCTGACATAAGTCAATATACCTCAGAGAAAGACTCGAGTCCTCAGACTCTCCAGAGGAAAGTCAGACAGCTACATGCAGAAGCCCTGCCTGGGGCCTTCTAGTTGGACCATGAAAGGAATTCTGTGGTGGGAGCTCCAAGATGGAATTCAGGATACCACAAATTCCAGCACAATCCTGGTGGTTTCCAGGATTGAAATAAAGGACAGGGCAGGGGGTGGTGCCTTTATAAGAAGAGATTAGGACACAGTCACACAATCAAGGAAAGATTGTGGGAAAGGGACCTCACTGGTGGTGCAAGTGGTTAAGACACAGCATATGAAGCTGTCCGCAGCCTCTGCAGCACGAGTTCGATCCCCGGCCAGGGAGCGACCCACATGGCGCAGCAGACCTCTCCTGTCTTGCCTGCTGCTCCCCTCAGTCAGTCTGCTTGTTCTATTCCCTGCTCTGGCTCTGGTGAATCCTCTCACCCCCTGCATCTCTGGCCTATACCCCAGCTCTTGTATGCATAAATAAATAAATCTTTTTAAAAAAGAAAAAGATTGTGTAAAAGAGGGAGAAGACAGCCGTCTGCACGCCAAGTGGAGGCCTCAGAAAAGCCAACCCTGCCAACATGTTCATTTTTGACTTCTAGCCTCTAGAATATAAGAAATCAAATTTCTGTTAAGTCACTTAGTCTGTGGTACTTTGTTAATGGCAAGCCTAGTAAACTAAGACACTCCTTTAGTTTATTAATATAGGAGTTATAATTGAAAGTATTTTCTCTTGTTAAATCATGTTTTCATTCCTCAGACAGTCTGTTCATTTAGTTCACTGCTGTGTTGAATATGCTATTAATCTATTAAGCTATTTCCTGCTATGTGAGTGAGTTTGGCTCAAGTGTTCTTCAATGGGGAGTCCTCACCTGATTTTTGAATCGAGGAAATCTAGCCTGGAAATAGTTGAATTAATGCCCATCATTTTGTCTGCCTTAGAAAATGCTACATGAGATGGTGATTTAGTTTTCCCTAACCTTTTGGTGGAACTGGCATTCAAAGCTGCCTGTCCTAGCAGAAGAAATCCTGAGCAAACCCAAGCTGAATTCCTGACTCCCAAAATAATGTCATACATTAAAATGTTTGTGTTTCAAACCACTAAAAAAATATAACTGGCCTGGAGCACTAAAGAGTGGCTTGAGCTATGAAAGCATTTTCAGTTTCTATTATTCAACTAGAATTCTCTATTTCTTTATAAACCACTTTGGGCATTGGCTCTTTTTTCTAAAAACTAGTGCAATTCGTTTACAATTTCAATTTAATGGCATCATATTTATATAAAAAAAATTTTAAGAGAAATTCTACCACACCAGTAGAGAAAACAGTATAATGAACCCAATATTCTTGGCAGTCAGCATCAGCAATCATTAATTTGTGGCCAATCTGGATCTCACGGCATTACCATCTACCCTCTCACAACCACCCCCTCATCTCTGTCGCTGGAATAATGCAAAGCAAATCCAAGACATCACATCATTTCTTCTCTAAACATTTCAGATTGCTTTTTTAAAAGATAAGGGCTCTTGCAAAATATAAACCCAACATAACTATCAATCTTAAAAATATTAAATGTCATTGATATCAACTCACCTTTCATATTTATCTGATGGATATATATGTAATACATATTTTAATCAGTTACTTTGAATTGGTGCCCAAATGTGATCTATATATTAGGATTATTTATTATGTCCCCT